CCCACCAAGTCATTGTTTAAACTAAACTAAACTAAAAAGTCTTAGAATGAAATCCTATGCATATGTAGACCAAAAAGTCTGATAATTTATGAATCAATAAAATAACCCAATCTATCACACTTCTATTTCACAAATGCCATTATTTCTATCTTGTATGCATTAGAATTCTTTTTGTTTCTTTTGAACTTTACTGTTCATCTATTTGTCCTTCCTGGGACAAAGGAAAATGTAAAATAGCATTGTATATAATTAACAGAGCAATGACACTTTACTCCAAACTTTTGAAGTCCAAGATTAACTTGTTAGTGCTGAGTAGTTAGGGATCATACCATACACAGGGAAAGGATAGTTCACTAAAGAACGCAACAAATTGTCTTCCAAGAAACTTACATGTTTTTTCTGTGTGTTCGAACAGATACACTGTAAACAGTTTAAGGATCACTACTGTATACCCTCTAAATTATGAAGATATGTTGTCAATTTCTGGACGTGTTTCAGCAAATCCTCCAGGCAGGAGCACTCAGATACTTCTTCACTGATCTATAAACATAAATTATCCCCTATGTGTATGTGTTTTTGTTCCTACCAGAAGCAGAACCAAAAAGGATCAAGGTAGGCTGCATCCTCCAGAAATGCCTGGAACGGTACACCAGCTATGTACTTTATTGATTTGCTTGCAAAGAAAGAAGCACAATGAAAAAAATTTAGTTGAAATTTCAGTTTTTGCTGAACACAGGCCTCACTTTCTATAAAAAGACTGTTTTTGTTATGAATGAAATGACCATGTGTACAACAAAAACAGAAATGTCAACTATCTTAATAAACTCTTGGGTTTAACATACATATCAATGCTAACTTTAACTTAGCAATGTCTCAGAATAAACAAACACATGAAAACAATCTCAACAAGTGTAACAAGACATTATCAGTGACATTTCTGCCTTGGACTTTGCTTTTCAATTCAAGTAAGATTAGGGTTTAAAAAACACGTTTCCTAAATGTGCTACAGCAACCACAGATAGTTTTTAAAAATCCTAGTAGCTAATTTGTCACTGTATGACACTTCATAAATACAGTAGCAATGATGAAGGATGACCTTGTCTTCTATCAGATTTCTTTCTAAAGAGCTTCATGAAGTTGTGGTCAGAAGCACCACAACTTTGCTGTACCCACACATTTTGTAATATCAGTTCCTGCATATTGTATAAGCTCCATGGTCCAGGGGAAGAGGAAGCCATTATAGGCAGTCATAGCTACTACATCCCAGAGCCTTTATAAGAGAGCCAGTGTGGTGATGCAGTCAGTTAATAGCATGGGCTGGGACTCAGGTGATCTGCACTTTAGTTCCTGCTCAGCCATGGAGCCAACTGGATGACCCTGAGCCAATCACACAGTCTCAGCCCAACCTACCTCACAGAGTTGTTGTGGCGATAAGCTTGAAAGCAGGAGGAGAATGATATAGGCTGCTTTGAGTTATTTGTACAAAAAGGCAAGATATAAATCAAATAAATAAATAAAGGTCTTTCAGCCTACTAGAACCTGGGATCATTTCATGAATGAAGCTGATTGGTGGTACAGTCAGGACAGGAAAAAGGAAGCAGCCCTTTGTTAGACTATTGAATTCATTAGACTATTGATAAGCCCTCAACTTGGTTGACTTACAAGGAGATTGCACAAATATTTGGAGAAGACTAACAATGGCTACTAGTTCTGGTAGCAATATGCAGCCTCCAGAAGGATCAGCGGCAAGGTCAGTTTCTGGAGAGCATGGCAAGGAGGCTGCTGTGGCATTCCTGATCCTGTGCTTCCACTGGGTGAACAGAATGCTAGACTAGATGGACCTCTGTATGATCTAGCATGGCAGTTCTTATGTTCTCATCATGCTGTTTGGAGAATAACCCATAGCATCCCCAAATCCTGATATGTCAATTTGGCAGAAGTTTTGAGTCAACGGTCTTTACATGGTAGTGATTTTACCATGGTAAATGTAGTCATATGGCACCTTCTGGCTGTAGATGTTTCCCTTATTTACAGGCCAGGACAAAGTAAGAATTCTAGCCATTTCAAGGGATCCTTCAAATTACTATGAAGAAGTTTGGGGTACTTCTAGATGAGGTCTTTAATGTAAAAATTAATTGTCTTGCCTCATCCACTAGCAATCCTCCCATGCTTGACTCAGCATGAGGTCTGAGAAATTCCCCTGTCTTCTCTTGAATCAGGAAATATGATACAGCCATGTTAGGATCAACTTCAGCTGAAAATAATTTATTTTCCCTTGATTTTTAAGCAAAATAGCCATAAATGCAATTTATGTTCCATACCAAAACCTGATTGCTCTGAACAGAGACCAGACAGGGTCTCTGTACATTTTTCCAATCATAGCTTTGTCTATCCTTTGCACACACTTTCCCCCAATACATGAATTTTAAACACTTAAAAAATGAGAATAGTATAGCAACATTTGGAGAAATACTTTTCAGTTTGCATGCTGGTTTTGGAAGTGCAAACTAGGTAGGCAAATCAAATGAATTTCTCTTCTGTTCCTAAAATTATCAACCAGAAGATAGTCGCATATCACATATAGTTAGAACAAGATAGAGATTCTGAACTTTGTGGTAGCCTGTAGAAGTAGCAGGGTCAAATGATATTCCTCATAAAACAGAAGATTCATCAGTGTGAGAAAGTTAGAATTAATGACAGCCCATAACTATCACCAAGACAGCACAACAGGTTGAAAGAGGCAAATGCATGTAGCAGGCACTCTTTTACTTCCCACATAGCTGAATTTAGTTGGCATTAGTTAAGCTGGAATTAGTTACACAGAAACATAGAAACAAAGCGAGTCTGAAGGGGCCTCCTGGGCCATCTAGTCTGACCCCAGGCTCCAACCAGCTTCACTCACGACATGCCCACCATGTGCATGTCTAGCCTAGTTTAGTTGGAATTAGTGAAACTAGTCAGTCCGGTTTTGCTAGACAGTCAATGCCTATGTTTGAAGTCCAAGCTCTGCTTCCAAGTCACTTACAGAGGACCACAGCAAAACTGAAACAAAGTTACTGCTGTACACCACTATGTACCACCTGCATACATAGAAATTCCACTCTGTAAAGTGCAGTCTTTCTTGTCTTCATATGCTTTGTGATGTAGTTTACTATTAGTTACCTTGTATATATGGCAGGAGAATTAACATATACTACTGCAACCATGGATGCTACCGGAAGTGCTAACTAGTGGGAACATCTTGCTTTGAAACGAGCATGTTTGTGTGAGCATCTCTCCTGCACATATTTCCCTCCTGGCATTGTAGTGCAAGGGCAAAAATCAGATACAAGATGTGAAGCACTTAACTGTTGCATCCACAGCAATTCTTAGGTTTTGACAGAAATGAGACTTACATAAGACTTGGTATGGTGGTTACAGTGTTGGATTAGGACTTGGAAGATGTGGGTTCTAGTCCTAACTCAGCTATAAAGCCCACTGGGTGACTTTGGACAAGTGACTGCCTTTCAGTCTAACCTACCTCATAGGGTTAAAATGGAGTTAAGAACTATAGGAACCACTTGGGGTTCCTCACAAGAGGAAAAAGGCAGGATATAAATGCAATGTAATAATACTAAATCACAGTCTCCCAGATCAGAGTCAAACTAGCAATCCAAAAGACCAACAAAGGAAAATCCATCCTTTTACCATCCTAATTCTTATTCTTACTCTTGCTTATTTCAACAGACAAAGCTCTTTTATGAGTTCAGGATTGTAAGCTTCACAGAAGAAAAGCAAATGGCACTGTAAGAACTAACAGATTTATTTGCCTTATAGATTTATGAGCATGTTAAGAAAAAAAAAAGTCAGTGTGGTCAACACAGAAGAGCACTACATGAACCTGAAGAGTCCACAATAAAATGCAACAACAAAACTGCAATGTGGCCGGAGGATGCTGTAAAGAGTAGGAACCTGACCAGAATCTACCCCTAAATTCATCATCTGCATTGTGCGATTTGAAACAAACCCTCCAACTTTCATTTTGCACTCTCTTCACAGTGACCAGTGTGCTTGTGCTTGAATGCAAGCAGTAAATTCACATCTTCATTTGCTTTTGCTTCCTGCAGACAAACTGCCAACGCTAAGTTGAAGAGAGCATCATCACCAGCCGGATCCTACTTGTGAAAGCACAGATGCTGTGTCTGGGTTCCCAAAGGAAAGACAATGGAGCACAGAAAGCTTTGTTTAGCAAGCATAAAAAGTAACAACCATTTAGGATAACATGCAAAAGAGGGACCCCCACAGGAGGAAGTAAGCTAAATCAAATAATAGAGTGGGAGGAAATTGCTTAGTTGTATTTTCATAAAATCTCTTTGAAGGCAAGCACTAATCCCCCCAGCTACAGCGGCTTCCTGACCAAAGCTCTCGTGAATGTTTCTTAGCGGAAGAGAACAGTTTACATTAAGCCAACAGTACCTAGACTTTTTAAAAGGAAAAAACATCTGTGCTATCCCCATTTTCCTAGCAGAGTCTTTAAGCCTCATCTAAGCAGTGTTTAGCAGAAATGCGAAACGCTGAACTGCGAATGCATCACGGACCGCTAAATAAAAGGTCAGGGAGTTGCAATGCAAGGAAAGAGACCAGTAAATCTTCGCCCATGGAAGACAAAACAAACGTGCCTGCCATTAGGCGCAGCGGTGGGGGTGGCGAGCAGAGAAGGTTGTGAGATTTAAGTAGGCTGCTTTCCTAGGGATGCCTTGCCTAAGTCCCTCTGCACTTGGCTCCCCCGAAAACACGCAACTTCGGGGCAAAAGTTAACCGCCTCTCCTGGTCTGCTCTGGTTTCCGGACTTAGCGGACAGCCCTTTCTCAGGCAGCGCCCCTTGCCTCGAAAGCAGCGTCCTGCCGCTTTCCCCCGAGGAGTCCTCCCCGCACAGCCCCTGCGCGCCCTGTTGCGCGCCGCCGCGCGGTCTCTGCGCGCACCCAGAGGACAAACCGCGGAGCACGCAGCTCCTCACTCACCTCCTCGCGCTCCAGCCTTTTGTGCATCCTACTCTTCTCGCAACCGCTCCAGAGTCGCCCGCCCGCCCGCTCTTCCTCCCCGGCCCGACAGGACCCACCTCCCCCTTCTCCTCCTCCTCCACCGCCGCTCACAGCCGAAGCAACAATCAGTCCCGCCCATTAGGGTATCCCACCTCCGCAAAGGCAACAGAAGGAGCGCCACCACCCCTCCTGGCTTACAATGGTTCGTTCCCAGAGGGATACGGTTTAAAGGGCAGGCTCGACGAGACGCACGGGAATGGGGGGAGCCAGGAAGCCTAGGCTCAAGAAAAGTAGCCAGGGTTGCAATCCTGCCCCTAGTTTCCTACGGGGAAAACTCACACTGAGTTCAAGAGGACTTACTTTTGAGAAGACCCTATAAGGGTGCGCTGCAAAATAAAAGGATTCTGGCAGCCCAAAGACTAACAGATTTATTGTGGCATAAACTTCCCTGGACATCATCCGCCGTCTGTGGGACGGTCGTCCACGAAAGCATTTAGCACACCAATCTTATACCTAGGAGTAAACCTCACTGAACTCAATGGGACATGCTTGCGAGTAGGACTGCAGAGCAATGTTAGTCTTGAAAGTGACAAGGCGCTTTCCCACCCTCGTTTTATTTGCATTTGGCAAGCTCAGCTGAGACCCCCTAGGATTCAGCTGCGGGAACGAAATATGCATTTGGTACAGTAACAAAGGTTCCCTTCAGACGTGACTGTAGAAGCGAGTTTCAGAAGCACGTGGTGCTGTAGATTCTTGCCCACAGTCAGCGCACAGCCTGGCTGGCGCCCCACTTCCCACTTGGTGCCTCTTTATTCTAACCTTTGGCGGCGGGGGGCAGTTCCTAATTGCCGCCCGGGGGCGCAATGGAAAGGGCCAACAGATTTGCAGGCTAAACGGTTATTAATAACAATCCCTTTCCAGGACTACTCCCGCTGACATCATGCGTGCAAGTCCTCATTCGAGCAATGTACCCAGAGGGATTTTGAGAAATTTCTCCGGTAAACTTTGTATAGTTTTTCTGCCAAGGGCAGGCTGCTGTCGGAGAACAACAAATAGTTATTCATCGTGAGTCAGCTTCCTATCTGTGACATCAGCAAAAATAGAGCAAGCCTTGGAATTAGCAGAGCCAGAAGGTTTCGGGGGAAGGGCAGGGCGAAGGTGGACCAAAACCGGTCCCCCAGGGCTTCCTTTTCTTTTTCTCTTTCCCAAAGCTGAAGTCAGGAGAGGGATGGCTGCGGGAGGCCTGCTCCCTTCATCATGAATCCAGCTGCATTTATTTGCCTCCCTTTCGCATATACTCGGAAATGGTGATGAAAAAGACCGCTTAGAAAACTTCTTGGGTCTTCTCAGGGGAAGGAGCCCTAAGCACAGGACTGGCTGGCCCTTAAGCTGCGCTTGTTTAGAGAAAAGTTTTGCAGATGTTCCTTCTCCTTGGCTTGCTATCCAACAGGCTCCGTTCAAACCTCCTACTAAGTTATAGGGTATACAGGCGTAGAAGAGGAGGGCTTGTTCCAGCCATTGTGCCCCTTAGACCGGGATGCTTAAGCGTCTTTTCTGCTCGGTCGTTTTGTTATGAGTTTGGTAGCATTTCGGGGGTGGAGGAGGCAGTCCTCGCATCGGAGTTGTGCTTCTGCTGAGGACTGGCAGCAAGGCTGCCCAAGACAGTTTCGTGCCTTAGGTGAAATAGCAAATGCAGCAGCTCTCCTCTGCTGCTCAAGATACTGTGGCTTCTGCCGCTGCGGTATCACAAGCGCATGGTCTTTTTCCTGGCAGTAAAAAGACAATCATAATTAGGTAATAGCTAACAATTTGCTGCTATTTGATGACATCCAAAACCTGCTGCCTCACTCTGCCTAATTGCAGGACAAGTCCTGACAGACATAAAATGAAATTCCGTAATCTCACCCAAGGACACATTTCTTGCCATTTCTTCCCCTCATGCAAGTTAGAAATATAGAAAACTGTATGAGTTAGGTATAGTTGTCTGGTGTGCTTGCATTGGCCAAATATTGCTCTGCTATAAAGGAACAAGGTGTATGCAGGCACTGTTTCTGCCTAGGTAGGTTGGAGTTATCTGGAAATCACACCAGATATGTACTTGGCAAGGACAAGTCTGAAATTGCAATGGTCTCTCATTCTGTCTTATCAAGTCACATAATGCCCCTGTTCTCACAGAGCAGAGTTTTCCTAAAATTATAGAACATTGTTAAATTGTCTTGAGGTCCAAACAAGGACACTCCAAATATCAGAAGGTCTTCAGTGCTCCATGAAAAGCAAAATTCATTGTAAAAATCTATTAACTTCAGAGCAATTTGCTTGCTTTTTGGCAATTTGTGTCTTATTCATAATTAGTAATTTGTAGTTCAAGATAGCACTTAATCTGCCTTGGAACAGCACTGTAGTGTAACATGAATGTTCAAAACTAGTCATAAAACTCCCACTATCTAGACTGCACCACAAGAGTCAAATGAACCACAGCCATCATAATATTGATTGTAATTAACTAGATATAATGATAAAGTTCCCTGCCATGCAATATAATTCACAAGAGACCTGAAACTTTATTTTAAACCTGACAATTCCACAAACACCTAATAAATGAATAGTAAGAGTAAAATGTCTCAACTATTCTTTTAAAAACTGCATATGTTATACTTATTAGGGATTTATATAGCCAAGCAATGAAGAACTTTGTTGGCTCTCTCTCTTTCTGTCATTTTGTTAAAAAATAAAACCTTTCTTAAAAGTCCACAAATTTTGGCCAGAGTATAAACCCTAAAATCTAGCTGGTTCTTACAAACCCAGTGTTCTGTGATAAAATTTGCCCAGATTTCAAAACCATGCATGCTCTAACTTTTATTATGTATAAATGCCAAGTTTACATTTGAACACTTAGAAAAGTAGATTGTCTCACACAACCACTTTTTAAATATCACATCTTTGAGTTTCGCCAGTTGAAAATTCAGCACCATTGTTATGATGATTATAATACCAGATGAAGTTGCATAGAATACAGTGAGAATGAAGACTGAAGGCACATGATAGTAATCCTGCTGGAACCAAGAATGCATGCATCTGGTCAGCACCTGGTGGGAAATGATCTGGGAACCCACTGTCTGCTGCTGTGAGTTTTGTAGATGAAGAAAAGTAAGATACATAAATAGTTAATTACAATGCTTCACCTTATATAGTGCAACAACCCTATTATTTGGGGTTCCAGCCAGCTAAGCCCTCCTCTAGCATTCAATTTTGCCTCCCAAAAGTCAGTTAGTGTTTCCTGCCTGCTGAAAATTTTAGTTCTTATTGAAGGGTCTTTGTTTTTTTGAGGTGGGATCCCAAGCATCCTCTTAGGGTTTTCCAAACATTTTTGTCCTTCTGCAAACAGTCTGCTGATACTTCCTTCTTGTGCATGGATTTGTTACATAAAGACCAACACTTAAAGAATGAGTTCACTATTGGTGTTTCACAGACCCTTTCTAGTCATGTAAGGCAGGACAATTTGTTCTTGTGCAGAAAGGGAAAAAATAGGGTTCTTTCATCCACATCAAACCACTGTGGGAAGGGATTTGGGCAGAAATATTTGCTACTCCTTAAATTGGTTGAGAGAAGGAGGTGACTTCAGGACTTCTTTCACATAACAGAATTTACACCTCCATCTCTGGTTAGGCCTAATGCTTGCATCCTTTCCATGGTTGCCAAAGATATTGAGATAAAGGAATGTTGCATGTACATTGTGCTGAAGCCTGGGGAAATTTGGGTGACTGAAGCAGGAAACCTGGGAAGTTAGATTAAAATCCCCTCAATGGTGCTAATGGGGACTTCTTCTAAGTTGGACACTTAGAAGTTGATTTTAATTCCAATTATGTCAAGAATGCAAGAGATAAACTTCCCTGAATTATGTTGAGAATGGAAGAGATAAGCTTCCCTTTCCCATATACTGCATTCCAAAAAAGATCTTTCCACCACCGGTGCACACACCTGTAACAACACTAAAGAGGGAGGTGCAACTACATGCAACATATTAAGTAAATGTGTAGTTTTGTCCTCAGTGATGTCTGAGAAGTGATTGAAATCTGGGTGTCTGCAATCCTAGGCTTAGACCCAGATTTAGTCATACTTGGAACAGAGCCAATGAAATCAGTGGGACTTGTTAGTTTTGCAAGAGAGGAGGAAAAGGGTGAGGCTCAGAGGTAATCACCTGGCCAAGGCTGCTTAGGGAGTTCAAGAGACAAGATTCAACCTGCAGACTTCCTGCTTCACTGTTATGCAATGCTTTCTTATGCACATCTTTTAGGAAGTAAATCCCATGGAGTGTGGTGGCCAGAGAATCCCAAGCGCATATATTTGAGGCCAATTTAGTGTCTAAGGATTATATATATGTATATGTGTATAAGGCTCAGGTGCTAAATCACCGTTAAGCAATAAAAAAATTGCTATAGTGATTATAACAATGAAACCTATTTCATCTGTGTATAAAATGAGAGAGAAGAGGAAGATTTTCTTTTTGAATAAAAGGAATTCCTAAAATGTAGTCTGCAAAGCATTCCAGTTGAATTATCCACACAGATAGCTTATCTATTAACCTGAAACTGATTAAGCAGCCCGGATCATTAGCAACACTGCAGCCACAATGCAACAGTTAGTATTTACATGGTTATTTGTTCAGTTTTCCATTCATTTAAGGGATTAATAAAATCAAACAAAAATACCAGAACATTATCTTAAATAGGATAGCCTTTTGATTAATTTAAAATGACTGACTGCTGATCCTAAACATATTTACTCAGAATTCAGTACAATTGACTTAGGTGGGATTTGCCATTGAGTAAGTATGCTTAGGATTGAAGCCTAATTATCTCTTATATATTAACTAAGCTTTGTGACTATTTGTTTGATTTATATCCTGCTTTTTTCATAGAATGAACTCAAAACAGCTTACATTAATTTCATCTTGCTGCTCTTTATCTTATCCCACAACAGCCCTGTGAAGTAGGTTGGTCTGAGAGTGTGTGAGCACCCACAAAGTCACCCATTTGGCACCATGGCTGAGCAGGGACTAGAACCCAGATTGCCTGAAACCCAGTTCT